CAAACGGTTAAACTCATTTGGTTGTAGTCCAAACATTGAAGTTTGGAAAATCCTAATATTAAAAACCATATCATTATTAGCAAATATTTGACACGCAAAGCATATATTTACAAATTTATACTTACTTGAAGTATGGCTCGACTTCTGGACAGTTCAGTAAAATATAAGTATGGGCTGCATGAAGTTCTTCGCCTGATAAGTAACGAAACTGACATGCGCCGCTTGGTCGACCCAGATAATTGAAAATAGAGAATGTTGTGCAATTGGGATCAATGGGGCCCTCATCATTTCTGCCTGCTCTCCGCCTCTTGCATTGAACGTGCGGCTCAAAATAGTATGATGCAAATGTCGTCACTTCTTCCACAATATATGCATTACAAATTGAAGCTTCAACATGTGCCTTATTCTTCACTTTTTTCTTCAAATGATATAAGAATCTAGTTGAAATAGAAAGAAGCTTATCGGGACATATTATATGATAAACTCATTTGAACTGTATTTTAAAGAAAACATTACCTCTCAAATGGATACATCCATCGAAATTGGACGGGACCTGCAACTTTGGCATCATAAGGCAAGTGAACTAAGAGATGCTCCATCGAATCAAAAAACGCTGGAGGAAATATCCTTTCTAAGTTGCAAAGAATAATTGGAATATCTCTTTCTAGTTTTTCCATGTGCGATGCTTTTAACACTGTCGAGCAAATATCATGAAGGAAATTGCTTAATTCTGTAATAGCGCCCCATACAAAGTTCGGTAAAACTTCCTTCAAAGCTATTGGAATTAGTCTTTCCATCAGGATGTGACAATCATGACTCTTCAAACCTGTCAACTTGCATTCCTTCAAATCAACACATCTCCCGAGGTTCGAAGCATATCCATCAGGAAACCGCACGTGATTTCAATCATTGACAAACAACTCGCCTCTGCTCCTTATCCAATGTATAAACTGCTTTCGGTTTTGGTCCCCTACTGCTTGCATCCACAGCTAGTATTGGCCGATCGCAAATATCTCTCATATCTTTTCTTGCGTTCAAGTTGTCTTTTGTTTTTTCGGCGACATCCATCACAGTATTTATGACATTGTCGAAAACATTCTTTTCTATGTGCATGACGTCAAGATTATGATGAATAAGATGGGCCTTCCAATATGGTAGATTCCAAAATATACTGCGTTTTGTCCACTTATGTGTACTTCCGTACGCAAAAGTCATGCCGTGCGGGTTTTCAACAACTGTTGGAAAGTCCTGCATACGCTCCCAAATTTGATTGCCAGTCAACCTCAATGGTGGACGCGTTCTTTCAGTCCTATTCTTGCTGAACTCTTTCTTATTCCTTCTGAAAGGATGACTTGGCGGTAAAAATTAGCTATGACAGTCAAAATAGCTAGGCTTCTTTCCATGTTTTAATCTAAATGACTTTGTCCTCTTCAAACATATCGGACATCCTAAGATCCCAGCTGTACTCCATCCAGATAACATTCTGTAAGCTGGAAAGTCATTTATCATCCAAAGAAGGGAAGCCTTCATAACAAATGTTTGATCGGTAGAAACGTCATACGTAGGGACACCTTCAACCTATAGCCGTTGTAACTTCTCAATCAATGGTTGCATATAAACATCTATCAACTTTTTCGGATTTTGCGGCCCTGTCACGATCAATGTCAAAAACATATAAGGTGTCTTCATGCACATACCAGGTGGAAGATTGTATGGCGTTAAGATAACTGGCCAGCATGAATAACTTTTTTCTGTTCTCCCAAATGGAGCAAATCCATCGGCACAGAGACATAACCTGATGTTCCGAGGCTCCATTGCAAACTCAGGGTATGTTCTATCAAAATATTGCCATGCCTCTGCATCTGAAGGATGACACATTAGATCCTCTTCTGTTTCATGATTTGCATGCCAAGGCATGTGTTCAACAGTGGCTTTAGACGCATAAAGCCTTTGCAATATGGCGATTAAGGGCAGATAAAACATTTGCTTGCATGGTTTACGCTTCTGATTATGACCCGGCCTCCTATTAATCTTGTACCTAGGTTGGCTACAGAATTTGCAAGATTCTGCATTTTCATCATCTCTCCAATATATCATACAAGCCCTACTACATACATCAATCCTTACAACCGGAAGACCTAAGTTATCCACTAGCTTTTTCATATCATAAAAATCACTTGGCATGTTGTTATCACGAGGCAATGATTCCCGCATTACTTCAATAAAAGAGTTGAAGCAATCCGCAGACACATTATGCTTTGCCTTGATATTTAATAGTCGGGTCATCACCGATAACCGAGTGTGGTCCTCACAACCTGCCCATAGAGGTTCATCTCGCTACTTTCAAGACATCCTTAACCGATTAGATTGAAAAGTTTCATTATACACATTCTCCTCAAAACCCGTTACTCCTATATCTTCCAATTGTGAAGCATGACTAGTACCCACTTGTTCACGTGTAGGAGTAAAACTAGTACTTGCATGATTTGATTCTGTGACAAAATTATAACTAGTTGCATTAATCACCATTCTCTCGTATGGGTTCAATTGCTCATAATAGCCACATTCTTCCCTAACTGAAAATTGGTCACTTCTTCCATATCCTTCATCAGATATAAATGGTTCACCATGGGAAGTCCAATTATAATAGTTCGGAGTAAACCCAAATCTAATAAGGTGTTCTCTAACTTGATCACACACAAGAAATTTACCATTACTGCACTTTTTACACGGACACCTTAACTTATTTCCATCCATCAACTCATATTTACTACTAGCAAAGTCTAAAAATAGTTCCAACCCAGTACGAAACTCATTTGTCAATCCTTGACGTCCAGGTAAGTTCTTATTATACATCCAAGCCCTTTCTCTTTTCATTGTGTCTGTATTAAAATAAAAAATTTTGGTAAAATATTTAAAATATCATATCTATTGTTCTTGATTAAAATCATAAAATTTTGGAAATTATAATTTTTGTTATTCACGCAACAATTAATATGAAATTGCAAAAATAGAAAAAATTACAATGTAAAGAAGACTTACCCAAATATTTGACTGAAATATCATAAAAAGTGATCAATTTGATGAGAATTGCAACGTCCACTTGGATTGCGAGACCTTCAATTAGGCACATACCCAAAAAAGAATAATCACTTAAGAATCATTTTTTAATAATTTTTAATGTGCGATGAAAACGGAATGTATCCGTCGCAAATTTGCGACGGAAAATAGTATCCGTCGCAAATTTTGCGACGGAATTTTCATTTATTCGTCGCAAATTTGCGACGGAATCAGGTATCCGTCGCAAATTTTGCGACGGAATTTTCATTTATTCGTCGCAAATTTGCGACGGAGTTCAGTATCCGTCGCAAATTTGCAACAGAATTATCATTTATTCGTCGCAAATTTGCGACGGAAACTATTTCCGTCACGAAACGGCGTGGCCGTTCAGCCTCATCCAAAGGCCGGTGAGGTGTCGCCGGTCGCCGGTCGTTAAACCGGTAATGCAGATACAAAAAAAAACAAACATAAATATATATTAAAAAAACAGAAATTACAATGCAACGACGAATAGTCACGAAGTTAGCTATGACACTTACCGGTACAAAAGCTTCACCGAGATTAATATGTCCGTGCGCGGATTTTGCTGATTTCAGACATATGAAAGAGGGAGAAAAACAAGAGAGAGCGAGAGAGAGCGAGAGAGAGATAGGGTTGGAATATCATGGGCTGATAAACTACGAATTTGCGACGGACGTTGTTTTCGTCGCAAATTTGCGACAGACTTACAATGCCGTCGCAAATTTGCGACGGTTTTATTTTCCGTCAGAAATTTGCGACGAACGTTTTTCCGTCGCAAATTTGCGACGGAATTTGCGACGGATTACATTTTCCGTCGCAAATTTCCGACGGAAAATTAATCCGTTGCAAATTCCATCACAAATTTGCGACGGAAAATGTAATCCGTCGTAAATTCCATCGCAAATTTGCGACTGAAAAACGTTCGTCGCAAATTTCCGTCGCAAATTTTGTGTTTTTTTGTAGTGAACTATAACAAACGCTGACTCAAAAGATTCAATTAAGTAAAAAGAAATCATCAAATGGGGTAAGTAAGGAAAGGGTCACTCAATTCATTAAGTAGAAATGGTAATTGATAGCAATTCGAATCGTATAAATTATATTGCTAAAACCTGCCAAAAATGATCACAATTTCTTGTATGCGATCAATTACTAATATTTAGTGATCAACTTTCAATTACTTATACAACATTCTAATTCTATTCAGCACTTTTTTTCTGGTCGGATTATTTAGCACTTAAAATTGCCAGCACTTGAACTTTTAGCATTTATTTTTCAGTTTTATCAACCGAGCCATGAGATTCCTATATTAAATAAGCTGAATTGGAAATTTTTTTGAACATTGAAGACCCTGATGGTGAGATATTTATTTTATTTGTTCAGAGCACGACATGGGCACCGAGCCTGAGGTTTACTCTATTCAAGGTGAAGGTCATTAGGTAATGGAAGCCAAGCTAGACTTATGAAAGAAAAATCTTTTTTAAAGACCTGCAGTTTACTTGATAAACTAATTAGTCCATTGAACGACCCTGATGGTGAGATATTTATTTTATTTGTTCAGAGCACGACATGGGCACCGAGCCTGAGGTCTAATCTATTCAAGGTGAAGGTCATTAGATAATGGAAGCCAAGCTAGACTTATGAAAGAAAAAACCTTTTTTAAAGACCTGCAGTTTACTCGATAAACTAATTAGTCCATTGAGCGGCAAAGCGTAGACTTCGAGCAAGAGGATTTCAATATGCAATTTGGCCTACGCACAAGAAAATATTTTAAATTGACTGCATACTGGCCAACATAATATCTTACAATTGAATTAGACATGAAGGGTTATGCCTTTAAACACCACATTATGGAGCAACCATGTGAGAACCGAATCCATATAAAAAAGCATTTTAATATTCACACAAAGTCAACTTTAGTCATCTAACTACCCTTGCGATAGCTGGTAGCAATCACGTTACAAACATTGCAATCCTTTGATGATTCTTTTTTGGGTCGACCAATCTTTTGGTGATATAGAGATCATCGATTTCAGTGTGAAAACTGAAACAGCTCTAACCATTTCTCTATTCGTGGTTGACATCTTCCTCCTCTTCTTCTTCTCTTCTCTGTATCTCTCACAAATACATGCACACAAATACAAACCTAAGTCCATAGCATAAAGCGAAGGCTGAGTTGAGTGCAAGTCCCGCCTGCATTCGACCGCGATGGCTGCTTCCGAGGTGGCCGTTTCACTTGTGATTGGCAATTCGCTACACATGCTCTCCGAGAGAGAAATTCTCTCCCCTGGATTACACGATCAAATCAATACGGCTATTAATCATCTCCAGAAAATCTTGATCGCCTCGAAGTTACCGGAATCTGGCACCGACAACGACCAGCAAAGCAGCGACCACAGATCTGGTCTCCTGTTTCGAGCTCGAGGTGCTGTGGACATGGCCGATAAGTTCCTCCTGGAAGCATCACAGCACCTGAAGTCCCACAAGGGCCGCCTTGCAAAAATTCGCGCATTAGTTCACTTGATCTCGCTCAGGATACGTGTATGCGCCACCAAAAAGATAGCGCTTGATTTCATCACCAGAGTCGAGGATTTGTCCTTTCATCTGTCCCAAATGCAAGATCTGCCTCCTTGTGATCTGCCTAACATTGATGACGATGCTTCATTGAGGAGTATGCGATGGAATGGGAAGGTTGAGTCAGACATTGTGGGCCGCGAAGATGAAGCGCAAAAGCTCCTAGCTCAGTTGATTGTGGAAGATGGCGACCACAACGCGCTTCGTGTTGTTTCAGTGGTGGGAGGAGAAGCCATCGGCAAGACAGCTCTTGTGAGGAGCGTGTACAATAGACTCGAGGTATACCATAGATTCCACTGTTGTGTCTGGGTTCATATTCCCGAAGATATCACCTGGAAAGATCTCTTGGTGAAGATACTGAAGCAAACACCTCTGCAAGAACTGAAGGATCTAGAGCACATAGAAGAAGAAAAACTCAATGAGATCCTTCACAAGTCCTTGATGGAATTGAGGTATCTCATCGTGTTTGACAATTTGTGTAAGCCCGAGGACATGGACGAGCTCATGATCCTCCTTGCAGACTCGAGGAATGGAAGTAGAGTCATTGTCACTACTCGGGATCCTGAAATTCCCGCACTTATAGACCCGTGGGCTTCTCCTCTCAAATTGAACGGATTAGATGCAGACCAGAGCAAGCGCTTACTGGGGGAATGCGGCTCTGTTGCTGAAGATCCGGGGCTCACAGCGAGGATTCTGAGCAAGAGCAGTGGCTCTCCTCCGAGGATTTTGCTGCTCGGAGGACTTGCGGCGAGCGATCATTCTTCTCCTGTCATGGTGGACCAGCTCGCTGAGAATCCTACGCTCCTTGATATCGTGTCCTTGAGCTACCACAAATTGCCTTTCCTGGTCAAACCCTGTTTGTTTTACTTGTGCCTCTTTCCCAAAGACTCGGAGATCTCGACAAGGAGGCTCTTCCGGCTATGGCTCGCCGAAGGATTGGTCCAACCCTTGGAACATCCTACAGCCACAGGTGGCGAAGAGCAAGTGCTCAGGCCCACAGCCATGGCGTGCTTCCAAGAATTGGCTTGTCGAAACTTGGTTCATGTGGTGAGGCGTAGGAAGCTCAGTGGAAAGCCTAAATCGTGCCGCGTGCCTAGTTTCCTACACGATTTCTTGTGCAAGATGGCAACGCAACTCAGACTTCTTCAGATCCATTCTGACACCAAGTGCACTTATCACAGCGAAGAATCTAAGGTTGTTAATGGCTGCTCATGGATTGTCAAGTATCAAGATAATAATTATCACCAAGAATCTCAGCAGCGTGCTGAGACAGAGGATCATCAGCAGGGCGACATCCAACTCCAACACCTCCGTTCCTACGTATCCTTCAAAACGCAGAAGCACGGGACTCGCTCGAGGGAAGTGGAAGAGTTGCTTCGGCCCTTGATTTCAAAGGGAGACCCTGGTCTGCTCAGGGTGCTCGATCTGGAGGGGGTTTACAAGCCGTTGCTCCCAGACGGACTTGGCAACGTACTGCTGAACTTGAGGTACTTGGGATTGCGCTGGACGGTCCTCGATTCGATCCCTGAATCGGTCGGGAACATGTCCCGCCTCGAGACATTGGATCTTAAGCACACTAACATTACGAATTTGCCGAGTTCGATTTGGAAAGTGAAGTCCCTCCAGCACCTGTACATGAACGAGGTATGCTTCGATAATTCCACCGGTGGTCGTAAACCGTCGCCAAAGTACTTGAGCAATCTCCAAACCTTGTGGGGGTTATACATTGGAGCTGCTAAGAGTCCCATGCTTGATGTGCTTAGTAAATTGACCAGGCTCAAGAAATTGGGGCTGACGTGCAATTCTCCAGTGGTGGGGAAAGCAACCGAGCGCATTTTGAAGCTCACGATGCTTGAATCCCTCAAGCTGAGATCCAGGGATCTCTTCGGTCAGCCCTCGGATCTCAACTTAAGCAACATGACAGGACTCAACTCGCTTTCGGAATTGTATTTGCTGGGGAGCTTGCCTAAGCAAGACTGCTTGAAGCTCCTTCCTCAGAACCTGAAAATCCTTACCTTGTCCAAGTCAGGACTAGCCGATGATCCGATGCAGGTCCTAGGAGAGCTCAAGAGCTTGGAAATTCTCAACTTATTTGCAGGCTCTTATACTGGGTCAGAATTGGATTGCGGCCCAGATTCATTCCCAAGGCTTCGCGTCCTCAAATTGTGGACGTTGGAGGAAGTGGAAGTAGCTTCTGTACATGAAACCGCTCTTTGTTGCCTGGAAGAGCTGGAGATTAAGAACTGCGGAGGCCTAATGTTTATTGAATCATTGGTTCATATTGGATCCCTGAAACAAATTAGTTTGATTAAAGTGAAGGAGGAATTGGCGACCAACATCAAAGAAGGATTGACCCAAAAAGTATACATCAAAGAGAAACAATTGCTGACCTTTTCTTCTTCCGCTCAGGTAATATTTCATCGTTTTTACGCGTTGTTTCCTGTGCATTTCCTCGTATACATGCTCTGTTTTTAGTACCTTGATTAAGTTTATCTAGAGGTATATTGCAAAATAGATGTGTAGGTGGTTTGACAAATAAGGGACGGGAGAGAAATGAGAGACAACGCTTATGAATTGTTGCATATTCAATATTCACGCGACGATTCTTTTTCTTCAATCTTAAAACGAATTTTCTATCCAAATATGCAGGCAACGCAGGATGATTGACGAAGAATGGACGTGGATTAGGATTGATCCTCTTTTCCAGCCATTGTTGTATTTACATCCTTGGTCTTTAGCAATGTGTCATCGTGTATTGCAAATCAAATTTGATATTTGAAGCGTTCCAAATTCTATAGTGGACACATTCTATGTAAATTTCATTTACGCAAGCTATTTTAGATGCATGCTATTTATGAATTTGAATTCACAGCTGATTCTGCTTTCAAAAGTATCCTAAGAATACACATGGCCTATATTGAAGGCAGCCTCTGCCAATCAAGTTGTACAGTAGCCATGCAAATGTGATTCATTTGAACGACTTAAAATGGCAATCCTTCATTGAAGCAATGCCTCTTCTTATCTTTAACATGAAGGTAACAAAATTTAGGAAAATTTTAGAAAATACTAAAAGAAGTTGTGAAAAAAAATGTTACCAAGTGGTTAAGGAGAGAAAACGAGTTCGTGAATTAGGCAAATGACAAAAGTTTTATTTCCTACATTCTCAAGTACAAGCAATTTCACATCTCTTATAGCTTTAACTCGTGTCCTGCTTAATCTATAATGTTAATGGGGAATTTCGTGGGTTCCATATTTGTTAACCTCGATGCCTTCATTGTTATTAAATAAAAAGAAAGAAAATAGATCGGCAGTCTAGCGAGTTGGGTTGAGTTCGTATAATATATGGGTCTTTTTGACCAGGTCAAAGAGTGGTAGTGGGACCCACTTTTAGTTAAAAAAGAGAAAAAGAAGCACAGAGTTAGCAATAAGAGGGCGGGAGGTTGCTTGCGACAGAAAGAAAAACGAAAGAAGAGAGGAGGAGAAAAGGAAAGGAAGAAAGAAAGTACAAGAGGAAGAAGGAAAGAAGAAGACGGTTTTGCGTCACGGAAATCTAGTCAAATCAATTTAACTAAGTATCGCAGTGCTCGGATCACGAGTTCAATGATTGAGTAATGTTTATTGTTTGGTTTTGGGTGTTCTCAAATAAGTGGTGTTAATATTTTCTTTGGTTTTGTAAAACTCATGTACTAAGCTAATAGTAATATATATAAGTAGGAAAAACACATTTGCTGCATAAAGTCGGATCAAGTGCTTACTACTTTTGGATTATGGGGATGGTTCAATAAACCTATCATCAAAGGTTATGCGTACTACTTTGTGCATTTAATTTGTGATATAACTCTTGAAATGTTATATGTTTTGGTTTGTGAAACTATTTGTGATATTGATTGTTAAAAGGGCTAAGTGCTACATGGTAACGTAAATACGTGGGAGCAACGTTAATGGTACCAATGAAGAGATTGTGGAATAAAAGTTAATACCATCGATCGCATCATCATCCTCATCTTGCTTTGATGCCATTGGATCATCCATGCCATCCCGTCCATCAAGAATAATGTCTCGAGGATCGGCATAAAAACTTGGGGGAGCCAAGTATTTCACATAATAGTTATATTTGCCACTCGGTTGCCCCAAAGTGTTAATCACTCCCTCCTCTTCGTGCATCATTTTTGCAAGGTTAGGGAATGCGGCCCGAATATTAGGCACTACGAGGAGATAATCTCTTCCATGACGGAGCCACGCACTAAGGGATGGGAACACATTGGCATCTAGCAGTTCTTGAACCTTTTTTTTTAGGATGAAGAAATCATCAGTGGAATGGTCCATTTCGCCCGAGTGATAGTCGCATGTTTTGGATGGATGATAACAAGGGAGACGTTCAGGATTAACGCCCCTTGGTTTCCTAGCGAGTAACCCCTTTTTCGAGAAAATGGGCATGATCCAAGACGGGCTTAGGGAGCGGTGTATGCTGCCGTACTTTCCGATTTCCTTGTTGATCAAGTGACGATTGTGCTTTGTTCGTTCGAAGGAGCGATGTTTGAACCATCATTTCAGGTCTGTCTCGCTCGCGTGATGTGGATTTCGAACGTGAGGCGACCAACTTCATTGACCCAGATGACTTCAGCAGGTTACCAGTCCGATCTGCTTCACTCTTTGGATAAACATGGTTCGCCTTCGTCGGAAGTCTTGCCCCCGGCTTGAGAAGAGGGAATGAAGCTATGGTGAGTCGATCCACACTGACAGATGCGATAGCATATCGCGCAGCTCATTAATTTGACATTGGAAGTGTAAAATCCATGCGTCCTTCCCATTGGCAGCCATTTTTGCTTTGGACCGCGGATAGGTGGACGACAATGATCCTTAATGTGAAGAGACTTCCTGGCTAGTAGCATATTGGTGAGGTTGCGGTGACGTGCTTGCCAACATTGAACTTTGGGATCGTGAGCGGTGTGACTAGCTAGGATTCAAAATTGGGACCCTTATTGTAACGTCCGGAGGGAGTACTTATAAAAAAGAAAAAGCATTGATTCTCAACCTCGCTTCGGGACCAAGCACGTGTGCTTGTTTAATCTCACTCCCACGTTGTAGCCTCCTTCAATTAAATTGTCTTGCCAACTCTGACGTCCTTTGTTAAAGACCAAGACTTCACTCCTTACCTTTTTAATCTCAATCTACAATTTAGTTAGTGGGTACAGCATTAGCAAAATGTTCGTCTAGGCGCAGTTTAGCCCATGCATTAAAGAACCCGCTCTTGATTCCGTGTTCGCTTTGTTTAGTATAAGCAAAATTCAAAAACAAAAAGATTTGTTAAAGGGTACAATTCAACATGCCTTAAAGTTGACGTTGTTGTACAACTACCTTACACTGTAGTAATCAATTTATGAACATCTATTATTACGACCCTACCCTCAGTCATTAAAAATCATTGACTTCATCAGAGTCCTTTTTTATTGTCCTTTAGATGAAGTTGTTATGTTTCCACTGGCCAACTAGAGAGAGAGACAGAGAGAACTTATTTATGTGCATAATTTATGCTTTCTCATGGAGCGTGCTTAGCTATAATATCTAACCTTAGTCACAGACCTCAATATCAGTCCCCTCTCTCTCTCTCTCTCTCTCTCTCTCAAACACCCTACAGATTCTTGTCCAACCGAAGACTGGTGTTTCTTTGAACCTTTGGAGCAAATTTTCACATCGAGTCATGATATTGCCAATTATCGGTAAGCAGTTTCATCTCTGCTTCAGTGAACTTTGAGCTACATATAGTTTGTGGGAAAAGTGTTAGAAAAGTTTTAAACCTATTACATTGATGCTAATTTAGTCTTAAATCTTTTTTTGTGTCAATCTAGTCCTAAACTTTTTGTCTTTGTACCAATTTAGTCCTTCTGGCTAATTTTGCCCAGATATTATTGACGTGCATGCCGGTCGGCCTACATGCACTGCCGGTGATGACGTGGGCAAATTTTAATAATATTTTAAAATTTTTTCCTTTTTTTTTCCCTTCCCTTCCCTTTCTTCTTCCTCCACTTGTCGCTGGTTCGGCGACTGGCTAGAGGCCATGGCTGGCAAGCCCCATTGGCCACTAGTGAGGCTCGCCAAGTGATGGCAAAGGCGAGTCTCGCCCAGCAGCTGGCGAGGGTTCGCCCATGCTAGAGGCTACGAGGCCACAGCCTTCGACCACGTTGGATGGCCGCGAGGGCGGCCTCTTGTTAGGTGGGCGAGGGTCAAGCCTCGCCGGCCATGTGTGAGGCTCGACCTCGCCAGATTCGGCGAGGTGGTGCCTCGCCCAGCCGATGGTGAGGCTTGAGCCCTCGCCAGAGGCTTCGAGGTTGAAGGCCGTGACCTCGCGGCCATTGGCAAGGGCGAGGCTCGCCTTTGCTGTCGCTTGTGAGGGCGAGCCACGCTAGTGACCGGCGAGGTCGACCTCGTTAGTCTTGACCGGCGATCGGCTAGAGGAAGAAGAAAGGGAAGGGAAAAAAAAGAAAAAGAAAAAGAAAAAGAAAATATTGTTAAAATTTATTCATGTCATTACCGGCGGTGCCATGTAGGCTAGCTGGCGTCTATGTCAGCAATATCAGATCAAATATTATCAAAATTAGCAAATAGTCTTGAATTGGCAGAAAGACAAAAGATTTAGGATTGAATTGACACCAAAAAAATGTTTAGGACTAAATTGACACGAATGTAATATGTTTAGGATTTTTCTGACACTTTTCCCGGTTGTCATCATTATGGATGTTCAATTTTTTCTTGGGCATGGTAGCGTTACCCTCAGCGAAAGAAAATAACATCAAACAGAAGGGGAAAAAACAAACAACTGAAAATAGACAGAATGCGAGAATTTCCTTTTGCCTCAAATGTATCAGCTTATGAAACCATATAATTAACTTGTAAGGAGGCGAATATTCTGAAGCAGAAAGGAAAGATGAAATCGTCTTACCTATGTTCATAAGGGTTACTTATATTTTAGTGCGCAACAGTTTTAATTTGGTCACACTGCAAAATATTTCTCTATGGCTTAACATTGTTGATTTTTTTTGCCAAATGCGCATACATTAATGTGATTCTCACATCATTATCTTTTTATGAGCAATGTACTTTCATCATTCTATTGCTAATACAAGTGCTGCATCTCAGCAGCTCTAAGCAGCGGTGTTGTTGTGAAGAAGATGAAGGTGACGCAGGTCTTCTCGTCGCGTTTCAATGACCTGTGGGAAGAATGGGAGCTCCGTGGTGTTGTCTTTGTCAGCCTCACCCTCCAAATCCTGCTCATTTGTCTGGGCAATCGCCGCAAATACATCCGCTTTGCCTCGTTCTGGGGGGTCATTTGGCTGTTCTACCTAATGGCTGATCCGGTCGCTATCTACGCGCTTGGCATAATCACGAACAAGCTCACGAAGTTAAACAGCCAAAGTGTGGATGCGACCACTGAGCTGCACGCGTTTTGGGCACCATTCCTCTTGTTACATTTAGGAGGCCCCGACACCATCACGGCATATGCCCTAGAAGACAATGAGCTCTGGTTGAGGCACTTCTTGTCACTAGTCACCCAAACAGTAGTAACATTTTATATCTTCCTGATGGCGTGGACCGGCCCTAATATATCCATCCTCACCATCGTGATGATTTTTGCTGGGCTCGTCAAGTATGGTGAAAGGGTTTATGTGCTCTGGGCCGCCAGCAGTGAGCAGTTCCGGGACTCTATCCCCGATCCGCCTCCTAATTATTCCAAGATATTGGACCAACAGAAGTTGATGGAGGCCGAGGGCTATGATGTCGTACCGCACGAAGTGATCGAGGTCCGCGACGTGATTGTGGAAAACAAAGTCGATGGTGCCGATCTTTCGTCCCAGGAGAAAAACCTCAATCGGGAGCAACTTTATAAGCGGAAGCAAGGAGAATTGCTTGCGGCCAGAGGCTTGGTCAACATATTCCAACGCCTTTTCGCGGATCTGCTGCTGAGTTTCGAGGATCACGACACAAGTAAGTCGGTGCTGAAGGGTAAGAATTTCCTCGCGGCCTTCAATATCATTGAGATTGAATTGGGAATCATGTACGATTTGCTCTACACGAAGGCCAAGGCAATCCATACTAAATGGGGCTTTGCCCGTCGCATAACTGGATTGGTTTTGATCTGCATCGTATTGGTACTCTTCATCCGGATCAAGGATCAGCATTACTCAGTAGCTGATCTTTATTTGACCTTTATACTGCTAGCAGTGGCCATAATCCTGGAGATTTATGCTTTGGCTGTTCTTCTTTTCTCCGATAAGACGGCTTGTTGGTTGATCAAGGAAAAGAAATTTGCGATAGTCTTGGATGTCATCAATTGGTTGCAACCGCTGACTAAACGGCGCCGATGGTCGGATCACATAGCTCAATACAGCCTATTGAGCTTTGCAATTAAAGAGAAGCACCTTCCTTGCCATCAGATCCTCGAATTTCTGCACATTGACGAGAAGGTCGAGAAGCTCTTTTACAAGCATCACAAAAAAGTAACCGATGATTTAAAAAAACTTATAATGTCACAGCTCACGGAAATGCAACCCCAGGGTACTACCAGAGGAAGCCGGGTGCTCGAAAAGTTCAACGAAATGGGGAAGAATTTAAAATGGAGCATCGAGCTGGAGTTTGACCAAAGCATCCTCATTTGGCATATCGCAACCGAATTGTGTTACCACTCTAAAAACAAATATTGTATTAAAAGTATGGAGATGAGTGAGTGCTTGTCTCAATACATGTTGTATATCCTTGTCATGTACCCCATGATGCTGCCGACTGGGATCGGTCGCATCAAGTTTCGAGAAACCTATATAGAGGCCATGAAACTCTTCGACGAGTTCAAGTCCAACAAAGCGAGTGAGGACACAGAGGACAAGGCTCCTTCCAACGACAGAGAAAACATTCGAGGTTATAAGAAATATGTGATGAAATGTGCAGGATTCTGTGCTGGTGCTTGGCGACATATCAATAATTGGAAGAAGCGTAAATTGGACATCACTAGTGCCTGCAACCAGCTGCGGAACCAGGTGAAGACAAAGGTGATTTTGACAGTCGCAAAGGGAGACCGGAGCAAGTACGTGCTGTTCCACGGGTGTCGGCTCGCGTCGCAGCTGGATGAGATCGAGAAACGAGAGGACAGGTGGAAGCTAATAAGTGAGGTGTGGGTTGAGATGTTGTGTTATGCGGCGAGCAATTGTAAAGGAAGTTATCATGCACAGCAACTGAGGAGAGGAGGAGAGCTTCTGACTCATGTCTGGCTCATGATGGCTCATTTTGGCTTGACCGATAACTTCCAGATCCCACATGCCCCTGCGATAGCTGAGCTGATCGTGCAGTAGGACAACACTTTTGGATATTTTCTGATACCAATTTTTAATGTTGAATTGTTTGTAATTGTTTCCCCCATGTATTTTTTAAGTTAATGAGGTTTATTACACCAATTCGATGTTATTGTGAAAAATAAGCAATGAAACAATAAAATAAACAAAATAACGTGGAAGCTACGTGGTTTGTTGAAATATAACATAGAAGCTAACTAGGATATTGTAATTTAAGCCAATGCGAAATCACCAGAGAAATAAGCGAGGAATAATAAATAACATAAAAAATTTACGTCATTCGGTCCGAGTATTAAAGATTTATGTAGTTCGGTTCGAGTATCAATACTTATATTCACTGGGAGCGCCAGCATCAAATAATCCACTTATCAATAAGAGAATTACAGAATTTCAATTGTTCATACGCTTGAGTGTTTCTCACACCTAAATTACACCAAAACCCAAAGTGTCTATAAATAAACAACTCAGATGTAAGACTCACAAGCACAAATCACCGTGTCCAAATGCGTGCACACGGCCAAAGAAACAGGAACTGCAGAACACGTCACTCTCTATTTCTGGTGTGTCCCCAAAGTGCTGACCCTTCAATTTTTCTTTCCTCTTGTGCGGCTGCTGTGCATGCGACTCCAAGGGTGCGTTTATTTTGGTGAAATTATTTTCTCGGAAAGTGTTTTTCGGACTTTCATCCATTTGGTTATTCGAAAATGATTTGATCAACCAAAAATACTTTCCAGTCAAGGAAACCATTCAAATATAAATTTAGGAAAGTGAATTTCCTACTTTAAGAATGTGAAAATACTTTTCAGAATTGATTATCTTAAATTTGTTAATATTTTATTTTTCTTTTATTTTTTTTCTTTTTTCTTTTACCTTCTTCCTCCCTCCGTCGGCGGCCGCCACCGACCACAAGTGTGGGCCAGCCCATGCGAGGCTGAGCTCGCTAGATCCTGGCAAGCTAGAGTCTTGCCAACCTCAATGTGGCGAGATTGAGCCTCGACGGGATTTGGCGAGCTTGAGCTTGCCGGCGACACATGAGGCTCGGCCTCGTTGCCTCCACCTCGCCTAGACCTCGCTGCCTCCACCTCGCCTCGATCTCGCCCAAGGCCAGCGAGCTCGAGGCTCGGTAGATCTAGGTGAGCTTGGGCTTACGGCTTGCCTAGTGTTGTCACTAGGGTGTTGACGGCCGGTTGTGGTGGAGGAAGGAGGAGAAAGAAAAGGAAAGAAAAGAAAAAAGAAGAGAAAAGAGAAGAAAAAAGAAAAAAGAAAAAAAAAGAAAAAAGAAAAAATTTGAATTTTTTTAAATAAAATAATTAAAATAAAAATAATTAAAAAATCAATTTTGTTTTGCCTAAGATAAAGTCATGAGATTGAAATTATTTTTCAATAAAATCCAAATGTTATAAAACGATTTCGATTACATATTACCAAACGAAGGCGTTTTCCTTGAAAATTCTTTCCGAAAAATCATTTTCCTTTATTACTGAGTTTTCCGTGAAATAAATGCACCCTAAGGCTCCGTTCATTTGGCGGAAAATATTCTCCTTTTGGAAAATATTTTTCCGAAAGTCATTTTCCTGAAAAATGTTTTCCCGGAACATAATTTTCCGGTGTTCGGCGACCAATATGAAAAAGTTTCGGAAAATATTTTTCGTCGGCGGCGGCGGCGGCGGCGGCGCGGCGGCGGCGGCGGCGGGCAGGCGGCGGCGGCGGCGGGCGATCGGCGGCCAACTTTCGACATCCGGCGGCGCGGCGATCGCACAGACGGGCGGCCGGCGCGGCACGGCCGACGGCCGGCAAGCACCTCCGCCGGCGACCGGCGCCTCCGGCGGCCCGCACACACGACACAGCCCCCGGCGGTGGAGGCCGGCGGCGATGCGGCGGCGGAGGCGGGGCGCGGCGGCGGCGGCGACCTTAGTGAAGAAGAAGAAGAAGAAGCTCGGAAAATGATTTCCGCTTTTGAAGAAGCGGAAATCATTTTCCATAGACTTAGGCTATTTTGTGAGGGGGAAGGAAAATATTTTCCCACGAAAACGTTTTCCGCCCCCCGAACACCGGAAAACCCGGAAAATATTTTCCGCCAAACGAACGGAGCCTAAGTGTCTATTCCTTTCGTAGAGCTCCTCTGTTATGACATACAGAACCAAGTCCTTGTGCAGCGAGAAATTGGAACTTATATTCACAAGTGATTCACTCCTTATCTTTTTTCCACCTATCAACGAGAGTCCCACAAAACTCAAATAAAGAAATTGGGCCCCAAAGAGATAAAGCTAATCAAACAAAGAAAAGAACAAAATCCTCATGTGATCTATATCTCTATAACTTCTGATTGACTTTGCCAAAATTAAACTGGCGACTTCCTTTGTTCTATATTAATCATGAAATTCCTAATTAACATCCGATCGGATTCTGGAACTAGCTCAAACTCGAGACATAAAATTAACAATCTCTATCTTGGCTTGACATTTGTAGCTAAGTTATAATGTAAATCAATTATGCTGCTCTCCCAATGTCTTGAATGGCACTCAACCATAACAGACGTCTATCAAGACCAAACTAAGCTTGAACTTGTCTAGAGGAATAAAGTTGGTCCACATGTCCGCGGGATCCTCCACCACAATAAGCTTTTCTCTTTCGACATAGCACAACTAATAGAAGCAAAGGTATAACTGCTCAGTAATCGACCATTTTTCAGGCTCCCTGCACGACTCGAGTTCACAATCCCAGTTACTGCCACACTACCCGAACTACATCCTCCAAAACATACCTCAACATTTGTTGTTCATAATAAAATTAGGAGGATCCACTTCACATCATCACAATGTATACCTAGATTAAGCATATGCATTTTTTGAACTGCATGTGATAGATCAGGCCTAATACTATCCATTGCGTTACTCAGACAACCAAGAGTACTAACATGTGAAGCATGGGACAATTGCTTCACCTCCATCGAAGTACACTGTGGCAAACTAGATAATTTATAATATGTAGCACGCAAGGTACTTATGCAATTTCTCAACTGCATGTCCAAGCGCTTCAACGCTTTCTCGGCATAATTGCTTCGAGTCACTCACAACATTTCAGTAATCTCTCTTTGCATCTCCATACCTGTGGTTGTCTTTCTTGCATCCAAATTATCTATTTCAATATTTGCATATAACCGTCGCTCTACCTCATTTACCTCCATTGACCACCTCGAAACTTCATGAACTGTGATCTCGAAATAACTATCAGCTGCAATGGAACCTAGCGACTCTGCAGGCGCTGTTACATCTACCGTACTCTGAATATCTCTAGGCTCTCCCTAAAGCTCCACCTGTTTCTAAACACCGTTCGGATCTTTCACCTCAATTGATCCGTCACTCCTCTTCTAAAACAGAGCATATTCGTCAAAGGTAATATCTCTACTGAACATAAAATTGAGTGAATCTTCCTCAGTGCACCACAGCCTGTAACCCTTCACTCCATATGCATAGCCTAGGAATAAGCACTTCTTTGCCCTTAGCTCTAGCACACCATCACTCACACTAGCATAAACAGGGTAACTAAATACTCTCGGTCCGGTGTAATCAGCAGACTTACCTGACCACGTTTTCTCAGAAGTTTTCCAATCAATTTCTCATGATGGTGATCTGTTCATTAACTAACAAGTGGTATTCACAAGTGCAGCCTAGAAATCTTCATCTAAGCCAGCATTGGAGAGTAAAGAGCGAGCTCTCTCCAATATACATCATTTTTGTGAGTCTGTTCAATTGTGGTGAATTGGCAATAGTGCGGTATGTCACTATGCCTTCCTCTATGCAAAACCAGCTAAACCCTTGAGAATAGAATTCTAACCCTTTGTCAATTCTTAGGCACATGATCTTTCTTTCTATCTGCTTTTCGATCATCGCCTTGCATGATTTGAACCGACCAAGCACCTTGCTCTTGTGCTTAAGAAGGAAAATCCATAATTTTTTTGAAATGTCATCAACAAGGGATAACACATACCTGGCACCACTCTTAGACGAAACTTGAGAAGGTCCCCATAAGTCTGAGTGTACACAGCCCACAATCTCCGAGGTTCGACAAACTGTTGTATTGAACTTCACTGTCCGCTAAGTATGCATGTTGCAATGATCACAAAAAATTAGCTTCTCAATTCGATGGCCTCCCAATAGACCTCTTTGACTTATTATAATCATCTCCCTCTCACTCATGTGTCCAAGTCTCATATGTCACAATCGTGTCATGTCCTCACCTGAAACCTGCAAGAACCCAGCATATGAGCTAATCATTGTTTTTCCTTGAAGGAGATACATCCGGCATATTATCTTCCCTAGCATCACAGTAAGCACACCTTGAAAGACCCTTTAAAACTCCACATTCAGCGGAAATCCGGTATAACCTATCAAGAGCACTCAGCGAGATAAGACTATTTCTTAATTCTGGTACATGCCTTATACTTGTCAACGTTTGCACCACACTATTGTGCTGAACTATTCCAATCCCTACCACTTCACAAGTAGCACCATTCCCCATAAGCACCTTACCACCCTCTGTGCATTGATAGATAGTAAATCAGTATCTATGAAGAGTCACATGATAAGAACATTCAGAGTTAAGCACCCAATCATCACCTAATGAACTCGTGGTGATTGTTAACACATCATCGGCATCGCTAGAACTATTTTGTGCTGTAGTAATAATATTACCACCATCTGCAGACTTCACCTTAACTCCCTTACCATTGTATTTAAGACAATCTCTCCTGTAGTGCCCTACCTCATTACAGTGATAACATCGACGGTTCCGAATGTTGGACATTGATTTAGAACAGCTCTTCCATCTTCTACCTTTAGAATCTCTGCGTTCTTCTCTACCTCAGATAATCAAATTTTGCATCGTGTTTTGTGCTAAGTTATCTCTTGTAACTTCTTTTGCCACTCCTTATAAAACAATGCGGATTTTACCTCTTTCTAGAAAATCGTAGTGCGCCCCCTATAGCAATGATACCATGAA